AAGGAAGACTGGGGAAGAATGGATCCATTGTAATTACGATGTGAGTGAAGAATGTTGCAAGTACCGTGGACTGCCAGAAGAAATGACAACTCTGTCTTAGAAGAGGTGCAGCCAGAAAGCGCAGCTCCTTAGAAGCAAGGATGGTGAGATTTCAGCTCACATTTGTTAGACATGTTATTAGGAAGCCAAATATGTTAACATATTTGGCCAAATAGAAGGTAGGCAAAAAAGATGGTGGGGGGACCCACAAGAGGGATTGACACTGTGGCAGCAGCATGGGTTCAGACATGACTGCTGTGAGGATGGTGCAGTGCAGGGTTGCATTCTGTTTTCCATATGTGGTTAGGAGTGGGAACCAATGGACAGACCCTAACAACACACAAACGAAGATACCACTTGTGTTGAATGTGCACTGTACCATGTCCTCACACACATTATCTGCTTAATGATCACAATCACGCTGTAAATTGGGTTCCTGACTCCACTACCTTGGTGTGAAAGATCCCTGGTGAGCCTGTGGCATAAGCACTGAACCGCTAACCACAAGCTCAGCAATTCAAATCCACCGGGCCCCTTGAAGGAGAAAAATGAGGCCATTTGCTGCTGTAGAGATTTACAGTCTCAGACACCCTAGATAGGTCTGCTCTGCGTTGAATCAACTCAATGGCAATGGGTATGCGTTTGGGGTTGGTATTAGTGTAAGTGGCATAGTGGTTAAGAGCTCGTTTGCTGAGTGAAAGGTCGTTCTAATGTAGCAGTTGCTTTACAAGAGGATGCAACCGTCCGCTCCCTTAAAGATTTCATACTTTGGTGGTACTCTACTCAGAATTCCCTCCCTAGCGACGTGTTGTTTTTATTAAGACTGCTATGAAGACTGAGGTGCAGAAAGCTTAAATGGTTTGTATAAGATTCAAAAGTTTAAACATAGTAAAAACAGAACCCTTTCCTTCATTCTGTGGCCGAAAGTCCATGACAATTTTCTCTCTAGCTTTGTTTTAGGAGATGCATTTATCTGCCCAATGAAAGGTACTGAGAAGCTGCCATTGGTTTCAAGTGTCTTTGACTGTGACCATATTAAAATTCAGTTCCCATGCTCCATCGTACACAAATGCGCATATACACACGCATCTATAGTAACAGGAATCCTGTTTAGGTGCTGTGTAACTTTAGTATTTTCCTCTCTAACCTATTTTATTACATTATTAACAATAATTACCACAATCTCTCCAATTGATATCATAGCCCATTAATGAGCGACAACTTTCATTTTGACCTATTATTCAATATTTCAACACCCTGTACCTGAAAAAAGTAAAGAAAGCCCTGGTTTTGCAGTGGTTGGCTGCCAGACAATTATTCTATAGGATTAAAAAAATGTCTCTGTCTGCTTCTATAAAGGTTTATAGCTTGGAAATCTGATGGAACAGTTACTGTCCATTTTATGAGGTTACTATGAGTCAGAATTGGCTCAATAGATGTCAGTTTGTTTTAGATTTGGACTAAGGATAGAATTAAAAGATTTTAAAACATGTCTAATTAAAAATTATAAATAAGTGCAAAACTAAAATTGATATGCTATATCTTTAATAAAAGATTTTATCAACTGCATTAGTGGAATTCAAAGATTTATTTTCCTAAATCACAGGGTTTTTTTAATGTGAGGGAGAAATGATAACAATCATTAAAAATGTAGAAAAAATGTCAAGAGAGGAAGGGAAAGTTACTTTAACCTGAGAGACTAAACCCAAAAGGAGCTATACATTTTTTTAATCGTTTTATTAGGGACTCATACAACTCTTATCACAATCCATACATACATCAATTGTGCAAAGCACATTTGTACATTCATTACCCTCATCATTCTCAAAACATTTGCTCTCCACTTAAGCCCCTGGCATTAGGTCCTCATTTTTTCCCTCCCTCCCCGCTCTCCCCTCCCTCATGAGCCCTTGATAATTTATAAATTATTATTTTGTCATATCTTGCCCTGCCCGACGTCTACCTTCACCCACTTTTCTGTTGTCCGTCCCCCAGGGAGGAGGTCACATACAGTTCCTTGTAATCGGTTCCCTCTTTCCAACCCACTCTCCCTCTACCCTCCCGGTATCGCCACTCTCCCACTGGTCCTGTAGAGATCATCTGCCCTGGATTCCCTGTGTTTCCAGTCAAAAGGAGCTATTTTTAACATCCTGGTTAAACATCCTAGCTATTTTTAACATCCTAGAGGATGTTCAAGAGTGAGTTGTTGAAATATGATTATGATTCTACTGCAATATCTTGGAGCCTTAGAGGTGATTCATGTCAGTTGCTAACCACAAGGTCAGCTGTTCAAACCCACCAGCTGCTCCTCAAGAGAAAGCTCAATCTTCCTACTCTGATCAAGGTTGATAGCCTCAAAAATCCAAAGAGGTAGAGTCCTCCTCTGTGCTACAGAGTATCTATGAGTCAGCATTGACTGGATGGAAGTGGGTTTGTAATAACGTCTATACATTTACCTCTGTTGTTTCAGCTGCTCCATAATATCAGCTGTCATTTGTTCATTTGAGAATGTATAATATGCTAGTGATTAAGGAGTTTTGGTGATATAACAGTTAAGTATTTGGTTGCTAACTGAGAAGTTGGCAGTAAAAACTCACCCAGAGGCTGTGTGAGAGAAATCTCCTCCCATAAAAATTACAATATGGAAACCCCTGTGAAGTCATTTTTCCCGTCAGAAGGGAGTGCAATGAGTTGGGTTGGCTCAATGGCACACAAGAACATTCTAGGTACAGGGACTACCACGGTGGACCCAATCAATGAAAATCGTTGTCTTGTGGACTTAATATTCTAGCAGAATGAGGTAGGTGATAAATAAAACCAATAAGTAATTCCTGTAGGATGTTTATAGGTGGTAGGATAAGTGTAGAACAAAGCAGAGGAATAGGGAATAACAGAGGGAGGGACATGTGATGTTAATCTGGTGATCAGAGAAAGCCTCACTAAGAAGGCCACATTGGAGGGAAAGCTGAAAGGAGATGAAAGAGCTCGCCACATGAATATCTAAGGAAAAAGCATTCTAGAAAGAATTCACAAAGACCCTAAATCAGGAACAACCTCAAGTATACCAATGTATGGGAATGAATGAGGGGGAAAGTAATGCAAACTGAAAGGAGAGATAATTCAGGTTAGATCAAATAGGGCCTTGCGACAGTTATAAGGACTTAGACTTTTCCTCTTAGTCAGATGGGAAACCATTACATGAACCTCGTTCCACCAAGAGAGTGATTGAGTATAATCCATTATCATTGAGTCACTACCAACCCATAGAAACCACATATAGGATTTTCAAAACTATAAATCTTTATGGAAACAAGCAAGCTTGCCTGAAAATTGACTGATGGGTTTGAATCACCAACCTTGAGGTTAGCAGCCCCACATGGGCTCCTGGGATCAAATATATTCCCTACAAATGTCTATAGTTGTTCTGTTCCACACTTCTGCTCACAGTGCTCTATGTACTTTGCGTTGTCTCTTACACGGCACATTCCACACACATCTATTGAAAGCCGACTAATACACCCATAACCTGTTCAGACATGTGGACCACAGGTACTTTTTCTGTCTTTCCCCAGGCTCCTACATAGCCAGGCTCGAGGGTGGGTGATAGTGAAAAAGACCCACTGGGACAATAGTACAATAATGCCCTAAGTAGCCCTTCTTTAGGAACATAGGGAAGCACAGTTAGGTTTTAAAAGTTTGGGGCAGATTTCTTGAATCAGTAGGGCATTTCACACAGACAGAAAATCACATACATGTTAATGGATCTGCTCTAACAACTCAGTTGAGAATAACAGTAAATAAGGCAGAATCAATCAGGAGTCTATTTCAATAATCCAAATGAGAGCAGGGAGGGTCAGCAGGAGAGGTGCTGAGGGTTGAGCAAACTCGGGGTGGATTATGACGGTTCGTGCCAGCAGAACGTCCAGACATAGCTGATGGGAAGAATGGAAAGAAAGGGTCCAGTTTGGGTTGAGTGATGGAAAGGACGGAGTTGCCATTTCTGAGGTGGAGAAGCCTGTGGAGAGAGCAGAGTGGGGCACAAGCACCAGGGGTTTGGTATTCTTGCTGCCATCGAGCTGATTCTGATTTATGGTGACCCTAGATTACAAAGGAGAACTGCCCTCTGGGATTTCTGAGGCTATAAATCTTTATGAGAGCAGAAAGCCTCATCTTTCTCCCCAGGGGTGGTAAGTGGCTGGGGAGAAACTATTGTCCTTGTGGTTAGCTGTCCAACACATAGCCCCCTAAGCCATGGAAGTTCCTGGGCTTGGCATTAGATACGTTAAATCTGAGACACGACATGGTCCACCAATGTTGAGTTGTCACTTGGGTATATGAGTCTGGAGGTCAGCGGTGGGATCCAGGGTAGTGGTACAAACATGGCGTCAGTGGGAGACAGGCTATGGGCTAGATAAGCGATCAAGGAGAGATGTGCAAGGACCAAATCCCAGGGTGCTTCCAATTTTAAAAAATCAAGATGGGAAGGAATAGCAAAAAAGCATCAGAAGATTTGGACAGATGGAGAGGAAAAAGCTAAGAGAGTCTACCAGAAGAAAATGAAGAGTGACTATCAAAGAGGAGGGAGTGATCAACAATGATAAGTGCGGCTGATGGGTCAAGTACAATGAAGCAATATTGGTTCCAGGCAGTTCAGCGAAGGGTTTTTTGACTCAGGCTCCCGAGATTCAATCCTGGCCTCCCTTAAATGCCCGGTCTCTCCATGCCTCTCTTTCCTTGTCTGCAAAAGAGAGAATAGTACCGTCCCTGAGATTATTATGAGTATTGTCTTGGTTAATATATATGCTACTGTATGTGATACATAAGTTCAACCCCAAATATTTCTACCAGTAATTTTCTAAGTTTAGTAAGTGAATCCAAGGAGAAATTGGGGATTAAAAAAATTCGTTGCCACCTAAAATATCTCTAACTTTTCTTTTCTTTCTTTTTTACTTCTTTTACAGCTTCCAGCAAGAAGTATATCCCTGCTCCTTTAGTTATTGCTTTTCTCTCCATTTTGGCCAGTGTCATTAACTCTTCCCAGAGCAGAGTGTAGAGGAACCAGCTGGTCCTTGCCTTCCTGCACCCATTCAGACTTATTCTTGCCACACTCTCCGAACTACCCTCTGAGAACCACTCTGACCTACTCTTTGTTGATGCAGCGCTGACACAGGTCAAGATCTATGTTGGGCCAGAAACTCAGGCTTTAGCCAATCAGCACATTTCTTCCCATGGAGACATTTATTCATGCTAGATAGCAAATGAACCAATCAGAGCCTGTGAGATATGATCCAGAGTACATTATTCGGATTGGGGTTAGAGACGGAACGGCTACCACTCTTTCGGGCGCCGATTAAGCACAGAAATGCTAGCAGATGACTTGCCTGCTTGAGGATGGAGCCAACACATTGAAGAAAGCGCTGAGAAATGAAGTGAACTGAGTCTCATGACGGCGTAGGATGGGCCTGAGGACACAACAGTGCCTGAAGTTGGATACCCTGGGCTATTTTTTTCATTCTATAAATCAAAAAAATATCTTTTGCTTAAATAACCCTAATTAAAATTTCTGTTCCAAACAAGTGAGACAATTCTGTTGAATTCTGAAGAGCTGTCCCTTATTTTTCATTTGGTGAACCCTACCTTGAACAAGTCAAAGAAGCCTCGGTTAGGAAGGAAAGGAGGCATTCTTCATCAAATGAACATGCTCACGCCTTGAGTTTTAGCAACATAACCAAGGTGTGGATATTTTTGTCAGTGATTTTTCTCGGCCCTCAAGACAAAACTAGTGTGGTCTCAGCTGGAAGGAAACATGGACACTTGGAAAATGCAAAAGAACATTAAAGATATTAGTAAAATCTCCCTCACTGCCATTAACAAGGAGCTACACTCATGTTCTTACACTATTACAAAGATTAGAAGTTAAACTCAGTTGTTAGTTTATAGAGGACCAGCCGGTGCATTGAACTTTTAAGTCTTTATAGTTAATGGAAACACATCTGTTAGGAAAGCATATTTACATGTATGGAAGGAAAGCAGATGATGACCAAGCAAGTCTCAAAGATGGACTGAGTCCACATTATGTGGAAACCATGAGCTACAAAGTGTAAATCACTGAATTTAAGTTAGGAATCCTCCAACTTCTCCCTCTGGCAGATGGCAATTTAAATGGGGAGATGGGGAGTTGACTTACCTGTTCTCCAAGGACTCTAGTATTGAACTAAACAAAGTGAAGGGGAGGTGAGATAGTTAAGGTTTATTGTGCCAACCTGGCCAACAAACACATATGGGGTTAATTTAAAGGTGGAGGGATAAATGGCTCAATGAGCCTCGCCTTTCTACTTCTCAGGTCTCTTGTTTCTGATGGTCAGACCAGGGTGCAGCTGCCTTAGCCGGTTCACTGCTTCAGCTGGCAAGGCTCACTTCCTACAACACATCCCTGAGGAGAAGCCACATGGACCTACCCTGGTGCAGCCCTGAGTGCTGGAGCAGCCGTGTGGAGACCCCTGCCAGCGCTGAGATGCTTACATGTTCACTGACCTGGCTTTCCTCCTGCAGGCAGTGTCATTGCGTGTGTTTTGTGAGATGAAGGAGGGCTTTGTGGACTTTGTGTCGGGCATATGGGCTAATGTTAGACTTATGGGCACTGTGTTGGAATGCTTTCTTGATGTACACCTACCCTTTATATAAAACTCTCTCTTATACATGTGAGTTTCTGTGGATTTGTTTCTCTAATGTACCCAGACTAACACAGGGGGTGACTGAATTTTGCTTAAAATCCATACCACTTAGCCTAACAAGAGGAGTTATGAAGAAGCAAATCTGGAAATCATTTCATCTACTCCCAACCAGATGTCTCAAAGGACCTGTACCCTGATGGAAGAGATTGAATGGGTAATTAATCACAGAGAATTACCCAGCAGGGAGTTCATGCACCACATACTGTTGTTCTTGCCATTGAATTGCTTCTGCCTCATAGCAACCCTAACAGGCAGAATAGAGCAGCTCTGTGGGGTCTTGTATGTCATAATTTTGATGGAAGTAGACCCATCTCATGGCTTTTGCCCTACAGAGCCACTAAGTTTGAACCAATGTTCTTTTGGCTAGCAGCCACGCACTTAACCACTGCACCAGGACCCCTGACCTACATACTAGCACTCTTTAAATTGGGACCATGTGCACCTCTGTTACTTAGTTTTCATTGGCCTCTACACCCAAAACAAAACAAGTAGAGCATTTCAACAAAGCTAGATACATTCTGTGATTTGTTGTGCAAAGAATGTGGCAGGGTGGTGAATACCTAGTAGAGTCCTGGGGACACGGCGAGGGGAGCAGGCATTGCCATGAACCTTGACATGGCAGCGATAAAGCAGAGTTATGCCCTATTAGGAAAAGTCTCCCAACATCTTGTTTTTTCTGGGTCATAAAAAGGCTTTTATTGAGCTACACTGTGTAGAAAATTTGAGGGAATTAAAAGTTAAGTATGCTATAGAGCAATCTTCAGTGCGTTTATGACCACTTAGGAGACATCTTTTAAAGAATATAAAACAAGACTTGGGGGAAATGCTAAGCACAAGGAGAAAATGTTGTCTGTGTGAGGTCAGAATCGAGATTGCTCCCAATGAAGGTAAGACGCCAAGCAGGTTGTGGCATTTCAGCTGCACCTGGAGATGCTGATGTGGAAACAAAAGGGAGGGGAAGGAGGGAAAACACACTAGTAAGAGTTGTACTCAGTGCCCCAAAAAACCCACCGTATAACTCGTAAGAGCTTGGAATTTAGAGGAAAATGAGATTCCTCTGCTCTGTGATTAGCTAGACCTTCAGGGATGAGGTTGCAGGTGACTGACTTCCGATGAGTGGAAAAGAGAAAATCATAGAACTGCCCGATCGGGTTTCCAAGACTATACATTTTTTTAATTTAAATTTTATTTCATTGGGGTCTCTTACAGTTCTTATCCCAATCCATACATATACCCATTTTGTCAAACACATCTGCACATACGTTGTCATCATCTTTTTCAACGTTTTCTTTCTACTTGAGTCCCTGGCATCAGCTCCTCATTATTCCCCTCCTTCATCACTCCCCACTCCCATGCCCCCTTGATAATTTGTAAATTATTCTCTTTTTTTCCTATGTCTTCCACCAACTGCTGTCTCATTTCACCCACTTTTCTGCTGCACAAGGAAGAGAAGAGCCAGTTAGGGTACAGTATAGCACCGATGAAACAAACAACCTTCCTCTGGTTCTTTAATGCTTCCTTCCTCCCCGCCCCCACTACCATGAGCCCAACTTTATCTTACAAATCTGGTTAGACCAGAACATGTATACTGGTACAGGTAAGAGCTCGTAACACAGGGAATGCAGAACAGATAAACCCTTCAGAGCCAATAAGGGGAGCAGCAATACTAGGAGGGTAAGGGTAAGGGGGAACCGATCACAATGATTGCTATATGGCCCCCATCCCAGGGGGACGGACTATAAATTATTTAGAAGCAGAATACCACACCTTTTTCTCACAGAGTGGTAGATGGGTTTGAACCACCAACCTTTTGGTTAACAACCAAACACTGCCCCACCATGGGGCAGTCGAAAAGAGAAAGCTTGTTTTAAAATGGATGGAATGCTGTAATATACAGTATGGAGGCCATACAAGATCAAACATACAGGACTGGCTAATAATGAAGGAGTACCGTGAGCTGGACAGAAAAGCTGAAGCCACCCGCGTAAGCTAAAAGTCAATCTAAAGTATTTTGATCCTATGAGAAGTCTCAGAGGGGGTTGGGTAAGAAGATTCTTTTAAATCAATACCTGATAAAGAGTGTCTTGGAGTAACAGAAGAAGGAGTTAGAAATTGGTGAAGGAAATCAAATATGTGTCTGATTGCCTCCATGAGCAAGTGTCCCCTCTGACATAAGACCAGAAGAATTGGATGATGCCCAACTACATTGCTGAGCTCTTTGATCAAAGATTTTATAGTAGAATCCAGATCAAAAGTGGGGAAACGCAGAATAGAATTTCAAATTCTCAGTGGAATCCAGACTTCCTGGGCCCATTAAGGCAGAACGAGCCTCCAAAACGATTGCTTTAAAATAGCATTTAAATTTTAAATATTAAAAGTGGAAACCACCCCCGGAAGTCTTCTTTAAGCTAAAAAAGAAAAAAGCTAGTTTTAATTAGTAAAGTATTTCTGCTTTGACAATTGTGCTTCCAGTGCTGTGAATTGCTTAATACGGTTCTTCTAGCTATTGTTTTTCACAAGGCTGTCCTGAACAAAGAACGCTGTCCTGAATAATTGTTTACTCTAAATGGTAACCTGTTATTTCTTTAGTAAACTCCATAATTGTGAGTGTAGTATGTGAGTTCCGTGTGCCCATTGCAACAAATTATCAAGCCCAGCAGAGAAATCTGAGTTGTGTGTAAGGCAAGGATGGTATCAGAATTGGAAAAAGGTTGGAGGGTGGAGACCTGTCTGGCGTCACTTCATGGACACCAGCCTTGGGGTAACAGGTGATGGTGGTGATTCTACGAAGGAGAGGGTCAGCCAGTCCCACCCCCACGTGATTTTGATAGTATTCTTTTAAAGGATGTGATATTGCATTGACCATACACAAAAGATTGGGTGGAATCTTAGGAGGAAGTGAATTTAAGATAATGGTGATGGAATAATGTAGAAAAGAATGTTAGCACTTGAAGTATATACAGTAACCAACAATGTCACTGGATTATACACATAGAAATTGTTGAAATGCCATATCTTTGGCTGTGTATAAAACTGAAAACCCACTGCCCCCAGTCGATTCTGACTCATAGTCATCCTCCTTGGGCTTCTGAGACCACAGGTCTTTAGAGGCGCAGGCACCCATATCTTTCTCCCTCAGAGTGGCTGGTGGGTTTCAACCTCGTGGTTAGTGGTCCAGCACTTTCCCACCATGCAGGCTTTCACCACAATACTCTTTTTAATGTGCTCCTGGAGATTGGAGCCGGCATACACTTTTGGTAGGACTGTAAACAGTAAAACCGCTTTTTGGTGCTTCCTAAGTTAGAAATAAAAATGTAATATGATCCGGAAAATCTCTAATGGATATACACCCTAAGTAAATAAGGAATACGGTATCAAGAAAATTACTAAAAAGAAGAAGAAAAGAAAGGTTACCATGGGTGAAGGACAAAGATTGAATGAGTTTATGTTAATGGTGGTGGAATAATTTGGAAAGGGATATCAATAATGATATACAACATGAAGAGTATAATCAATGGCACTGAATTCTACATACAGAAGTTGTCGAACTGGAGAATGTTTGTTGTGTGTGGTTTTGCCACAATTAGAAAAGCTATAATTACATGAATGACAATGAGTACAAGGAAGAATATGTTCTAGAATTGAATGTGGTGATAATTGTACACCTCTGCTTATATAATTGAATTATTGAATTGTATGACGTGTGGATAAAGTTCTAATAAAACCGTTAAAAAGGGGAAATTATTGAGACCACCATTGTAAAGAAGA